AAAAAAAAAAAAAAAAAAAAGAAAGGAAGAATGATGTCTAAATTAACAATTATCCTGATGCAGAATATGGGTTGTGATGACAATATAGGTACAGTGAAGGGCACAGGGCAGGGGCTCAAATGAGTCAAGGAAGGTTTTCCCAGGGAAATGGTTTCCCCTGAAATTGTGGCTGAACAGAGGCTGGAGGCACAGTAGTGCAGATGGGGGTGGGGCTGGGAGAACAGAGGCTGGAGGCACAGTAGTGTAGATGGGGGTGGGGCTGTGGGTTCCAGATAGAGGAGCTTGTGGGAGTTCCCAAAGCAGGAGGAGAACCACATATCCCATAGAGTCTGAGCAATGGGAGGCTTTGTCAATTATGAAAGATGTTAGTTGTCATTGCCTGCTCCTTTTTGTTGTCGCTTTTGAGGAGTTAACGTAGTGCCAAGAATGTAGCACTGGGAAACTGGAACACACTGACCAGATTTACAATTTTGAACAAATCTGCAATAAATTCTTGCTCTTCAGATTACTCATCTGTGAAATAGGACAAGAAATCCCTCCTTTCTTCACATTACAGTGGGTTGAAGGAAGAAGTGTTTGCAAGAGTCTTTAAAAAATTGAAATGAGTTATAAGTGTAGGGTCTTGACAGGACTTTCCCTGATCATAAATAAACCCAACTCATTCAGGTGTCAGCTCGAAGATTGGAGAAGTGATTGCATCAGTGTTTTTACCTCCCAGCCCCTGTTCCCAAGGGATTGGGAGATAAATAACCATTTCTTTCTGATTGGTTTAGTGATATTTCATTTCAGTTCATAATCAGATTTTGTCTAAGGGAGAATGAGTGCTATTAATAAAAGTTTTGTTTTAATTGTAATGTCTGTGGTTACCCTGCCTGACTGGTAAGGGCAGATTGCCAATGAGCCGAGGGATGTGGACTCCCCAAAATTCTGGCAAGGCAAAATTTGACTGCAACTGTGCCCAGGTAAAAGAATGTGGCGGCTGAAACTGATGCTGTCAGGGCTCCTGTGCTTATAACTTTTGAGGCCTCCCTGAGACCTGTTGCAGCAAGCTTAAGTTAGGCTTCCAAAGCCCTCTGTAATCTCACCAACTTTGCCTGTACCACCTCATTTCCCTCTCCTCAGAAGCCTTCCTCACTGCCATCCCCATCCTGAACCCTACGTCCTGGCCTCTGCTCTAGCTTGCCCACCCTATGTAGCTCACCCAAGTCCCCCTTTTCCCCACCAGGACATCCGCCTCTCCGTGTGATACCGTGTAGCATGGGGGCCAGCACAGCCTCATCTCCTCCGTCTGAACCCTTGATCTCTTTTCCAGTAGTGCATTCATTTGGCACTCTCGCATACTTAGGTTAGCATTTAATTTTATTATTTGTGATAAAACCTTACAGGGCATTTTCAGTTTACAAAGAACACTCATATAGCAGATTATCATTTGACTCCCACAACCACCTGGATGGAGAGTGGAATCCATAGTATTAAGATTTTCCCATTTTAGAGACAAGAAGTCTAAGGCTTAGGAAGTTCCATGACTCGCAGTACCACTTGGCCAAGCAAAGCAGGACTTACAGTGTTGTAACTCCCACGAAGAAACTCTGAGACTAGGAACCAGTTTCATACACTTCTCCCTCCCCCCCCCAAACCCCCTGCTTAGCCCCATGTCAATCACATAGTTGATACTTAACTGACACTTCTTGAAATGAAATCCACATGCAACTACAGGGAAAATAATTCCAATGGCATGTTTTATTAGTACAAATAATTGTTATTAGCACTATTAGCTTATTCATGTATAAAGAACAGTATGCTTGCAACGTTATTTTTATTACAGCAACTCAGTAAACAACCTAAGGGAGACTCACACACATTTTATACAAGGCTTCCCCAGCCCCAGAGGTCAATCAGAGGGCAGCTACAAATGCAGGAGCAGTAGCCCTACTACTTCCTGGCCATGGATGGAATGTGCTTGTTAGAACTTGCTCAGCAGGGTGGACATGCCCGGCTAGCCCTTGGAAATCCGAGGTCACATGTCCACACAGAGGATCCTGGTTACCCTGCAGCGAGCCCACAGGTGGGCCTTGGCTCCCCCACACAGCCAGGTGAGAGGGCTGCCCTGGCGGGGACACTTAGCCATTCTGAGTCAGACTTGGGAAGACTTCCCATCATTGGAGCAAATTTCCCAAGAATTTCAGGCCACGTTGACTACTTGGCAGAACTGAGAAGTGATTTTTTTTGGTCCTACCCCTGCATCTGCCTGGAATAATACCAATCATGGCTATAAATATTTGTATAGTCCCTACCAGCCCAGGAGCACATTCACACGCGTTACCTGCTTTGGCCTGAGGCCCCTGGAAGGAAGGTGCTCATTTCCAGTTGTCCCTTTGCTCACTTGCGGAAGTACGGACATCTGATCAAACCTTCAGAATGGTACCCAGGGACTGAGAGGAGAGCACATCTCCCAGTGCTGCAACTAGTTTCCCTTTAAAGAGGCAACACATGCTATTGTTCTCTTGTATATTCTTCTAGTTTTCTGCCCATTTTGGAGATGAAGAGACGGGGGCTCCAAGCAACTGAGTGACTAGCCCAAAGACAGCACGGGTAAGTCGTACCTGCTTCTCATACCATGCCCTGTAAGCGGCCCCCACACTCAAATCACACGTTAGCCAAGACTTTGGTTCATAGGAAAACTTACAATCTGACAAACATGTAAAGCCAGATAAAAGTCAAAGCCAGAACAGGAGGGCTGGAGCCCCGCAGACTTTCCATCAGGGAGCATAACTGCCTAGCCCCGTTAGGCACTATAAGGATGTCCACTGCCTCCATTGGCTGCTCCAAGCCAGCTACCCTCCCAGGACCCCTTCCTGCCTCCCGACTGGCAGGGGCAGGGCCCAGCATTCTGACTCTTCTACCCTAACAGAGCTTCCCCACCCACTGTCCTATTCCTTCAAGACTCTGAGGCCTTGAGGGCTCATCCGATTAAAAAAAAAATGTATTCTGGATGGCTAAGGGGAGGTAAAGCCCACAGCCTGGTGGGCAGCCTGCAGTCAGCCCAGCCCTGAGGCTACACCAGGGAAAGTTTATCTCATCATCCCACCCACCTCCCAGTGGCTTTCCAGAATGTCTCCCATAAAGCCTTGAGGTCTCTAGGCATGGAATAGAGATGGTGAACCAGGGGGAATAACAGAGCAGGATCCATGCTGTGGGAGAGGGGCTGTCTAGGGGGGGAACTTCCTGCAATCCCCAGCTTAACCCGTTTCTTCCATCCATACGCTTAAATTATGTATTTGCAATGATTTGGGAAAGGCATTTCAAAGATGGAAACGGAGCTGTCTGGGCATCACTGAGAGGAATCAGACAAGAAGTAAAGCCAGGGTAGCTCAGGGACAGCATTTAATGTGCAAAAAGGCAACTCAAGCTGCATGTGGTGACCTAAGAAATGTCATGTGTATCAAAGGAGGTAGGTGCTGAAGCAGAAAAACAAAAAAGAGAGTACTCCTTACCTGGCGCTGGGTGGGTACTCAATAAATATTTTAGCTCACTCATATATGTCCTCTGCATTCATTAATTCATCATCTGTTATTTATCCAAACCGTTAAAAAAAAAAGAAATAACTCCATGCTATGTTAGGAATGCAGATCTAAATCCCTGCAAAGAAGCAGTGAAGTTCATCCTCAGGTAACATGAACTTCTCTGCACAGCCCACCCTCTGGGACCGAGGCTACAGCCCAAAGCCCAGCAAATATGCAATCTACCATGCTGAACATTCCACAGAGGTGAGTTATTACTGGAATGGGAGTATTTCTGCTCACTCTCTGTATGATTTTATCTTTGCATTTAAAGCTTTAATATTGCAGTAAGGTAGCTTTTGGCTTTTAATTGCCCTGAACTTTTGTTAACATGAAATGAAGGGAGGAAATGGGAAGGAAAATAGAAACGTATCTGTATTACTTGTGAGTTGCATAATTGTATATTCTTGCCACACCATTAGTTTTCAGCTATTCCAGCCTGTAAACCTCTCCCCCCTCACCACCGAGAAAAAGAAACAAGTTAGTCATTCTGTTATTGCGGCAAAGTTTGCAGAACGCTAAGTTCCCTTCTCTAGTATTAAAGAGGATTATGCAACTTTTAATTTGAGGTCTGTTTTTTAATTACACCTGTGTGGGAGATCCTGAATCACACAGTGTTTGGTTGTTCTCTTGTTTTTTCCAAAAACACCTTTTCCCTCCAAGAGGATATGACGTTTGAAGACTTAAGCATTATTCATTAGAGTCAGCCAGAACCAGAGCTTTCCCATTATTTCTGGACAGAAAAGACACACCGCCCCACCCTGCCACTCCTAACTCACAGATGACCTCAGATCCTCAGCTCTCATATTCCAAAAATAAAAATTTACCTAGACACTCTACCACACCCACAAAAATTGGCTCCAAAATCTTTTACCAAACAGTTTTGAAGAGTGAAAATGAGAGTTACATAAGCAAGGTATTCCACTGTAACCATGACTACGGGTTTTATTAGCCCTAATACCGGGATATGGTCAGATGGGCTATATATAGACGGCCGACAGAAGTGTGAGTGGTGTCAGTATTTGCTCATGAATTCTACACACTGGGGAACTGTAGCTCCTAGTGACTACAGTGCATAAAACAGCAGGAGAAGGGGAGGGGAGGGACAGGAGGGTGGAGGGCTGCCTCAGTAAGAGAAGTTCCGTGTTCTAATTTTAGCTTTAATTCAGCTTTTTAATATAATCCTCTAAAATCCCACTTCCTTGCATCAAGATTCCAGTTTTTCTTCTCATGCTCTTTCACATTTCCTGTTTGTTCTTCACAACAATCTTGAGACATATTCAGGATGGATAATAACCCCGTTTCTCAGAAAGCGTGACTGATTTTGCCCTGGGTCAAAACCATGATGGACAATTGCACTGGGACGAGGACTGGGTCCTCTGACTCCTAGCTTAATATTTTGGCCCACTGTAGCCCCCACCCCGTCCCATGCCAGCCTTTTGTATTGTACCCGGGGATATTTTGTTACATACCAATTCCTGGTGAAAACATCCCTCATCCTTATCATTCATTTGATTAATCAAGATCAGTCAGTCAAACTGATATTACAGCTGCTAAGGTAGGCTTCCCCTTCTGTCCTCACTTTTATTTTTCGAGCCCCCTGCATGGTTCTACCCTATATAGATTATAGCACAGCATATAGGTAACATAGTCCCTGCTTCTGATTCTGATTTAGAATCCAGGGGCTACAAACTTAAAATCCTTCCAGGAAAGAAGACTGGGTGGGGCAGGCAGGCTGGAGTTGGGGTAGAGACTTGGGGGAATGGAGAGTATAGACCCTTTAGAGCTCCAGCAGATTGTGGCTATGTGGGAAGTTAGTGTGGCCAAATCTTAGGACAAGCTGAAGATCGAGAATATATGATATTAGAAGAAGCAGAAAAATAATAAGAAATGAAAGTGCGCATGGGTGGGACTGCCAGTGAACACCACGCCTACTCACAGCAGTCACGCCTCTGGGCCCCCAACACCCACTGTCATCCATGATGCCCCCATCACACTTCTCTTCTGACATGTTTGCTTCTATTAAAATGCGAGCTCAGCTCGGCGCCTATAGCTCAACCGGCGCCAGCCACGTACACCTAAGGTGGCGGGTTCAAATCCCCAGCCCGGACCCGCCAAACAACAATGACGGCTGCAACCAAAAAATAGCCGGGCGTTGTGGCGGGCGCCTGTGGTCCCAGCTACTTGGGAGGCGGAGGCAGGAGACTCGCTTGAGCCCAGGAGTTGGAGGTTGCTGTGAGCTGTAATGCCACGGCACTCTACCCAGGGGGACAGCTTGAGGCTCTGTCTCAAAAAAAAAGCGAGCTCCTTTAGGTCACAGAAGACATCTTTATCAAGAGCATATCCATGGGATGAAGGGTACATGCCAAGCCTTCAAATGATGATAGATGAGTGATTGGGTGAACATCATCTGAGGCTGAAGTCCTCAGCCTCCTGAGAACGGTGGCCATAAAACAGAGTGGTTACAGCAGGCTCTTTGGACTCAGCTACAACTAGATTCAAACCTCTTTCCTTACTTTCATAGCTCCATGGTTTGGGAAAATTATTTAATCTCTGATATCCTGTTTCCTCATCTATCCCATCTATCATAAATAGGAGGTAAAACATCCTAGCCCTTGAGTTGTTGAATGAGATCCATCTGTAAAGCCTCAATTACGCACAGACTTGCACTTTGTAAGAACTCAAGAAATGGGGGCTTTTTGATTTAACCCCATTTCTGCAAAAGGGTGATAAGACATTTTGCTAAACCTCTGTGTTGAGACTTTGGCCTCGAAATATCTAAGTCAAAAGAGGCCAATCAAAGGAAAACAAATGAGCATTCTAGGTGAAATGAAGAGGAGAAAATTGATAGTCGTGGACAAAACAAGGCTCCCCTGAGAAACTAGATCTTGGAGGTCAGAAGGGCTGAAAGAGGAAGAGGCAGCTGGAAATGAATAGAAATCAAGTGAGAAAACAGGGGAGAGGAAAATGTGTCTGCCCTGATTCCCCGGGAGTTGGTTAACTCTGTCTTTATTTAATTCAATGAAAAAATGATCAAACTCTAATTAGGAAAAAATAATTATTGAATAAGTGGATGTTTTTAACTTTGACACAATATGAAGAGTATGATAATGAATAGAGTGCTTCACAGTTGTCAAGGAAGGTTTAAGGCACCGAGGGTACGAAGTACACTTAAGCTACAGGCTTCACGCACGTTATCTCATTTACTCTGCCCGGCAATGCGTTTTTTCCATTCATTCATTCATTCATTCATCCATTCAGCCAATATTTATAGCCTCCCACTGTCTACCAGGCCCTGTACCAGATACTGAGAGTAAAACGATGCAGCACAGTGGATAAAATGCCTCACCCTCTGAGAAAAATGCTCATGTTTCTGTTTACAGAAGAGGAAACTGAACTCAAGGCATTTGAGTGAATGTCCCACAGACTCCATACCATGTTGGTGGGGAAGGAGCCAAAATTGTTTTTTCTTTTTTACTTTTTTCTTTTTTTAGCAATCTGTGCTTTAAAGAGCCAAAATTGTTGATTACAAGTTTTCTGGTTTATGAGAAGAAAAGCCATAAACCCTTGATGATCTCAGGGAAGTAAATTGAGGGAGCTGACTTGCCAGCAGGTTGGAGATCCTGTATTCAATCACATTAGTACAGTTGGAATTTTCAGGGAATTGGAGAGATATAATGTCTCGTGGTTAATCCTAAAGTAAGATGAAAAGGACTCATTATTCTCAGTGCCTGGCATGGACCCTTTGGAGAGAGTGTAATGAGGAATGAGAAAAGAGAACAGGATAGAAAGAAGGAAAAGGGAAGGGTCAAAGAAAACAAAAGAACTAGCGATTCCAGGCCTTCCGTGATAGAAAACCAAAGAAAATCCAGATGAAACCCTTCTTAAATTCTTTTCATTGTTCTTAAATCATTCTGTAATTATTTTCCTGGCATCCTCCTTGAGAAGAGAGAGGGTGTCTTAATTTCCTAGCATGTCTTAATTAAAACTTGATTGATTGGAAGATTGACTCATTTGAACCCAAAGTGAAAT